TTCACCGGAATCAAAGAAGATTGCCTCAGAAACAGCGTCAGCATGAATGTTCCAGTCAAGCCAATCGACAGCTGGTCAAGAGAAATCCTCCGTAGTCTTCTGGTAGAACTGACCTTCGAATCTCTTCACGCAACACTTTCACTCGAAATGCAAGTAGACTCAACAATTATGAAACAAGAGATTCCTCGAAACCCAACTTTTCTTCGCATAAACGAGCACAAATCGTTTTACATTGCTACAGCAAATACAACTTTGCTTACTTTACCTTCTTTTGCGACTGGTCTTTGCGACTTCGAGTAGATCCAGTACATGGGATGCATTCACCCCATTCAGTTTCAGGTGATGAGAGGACTGGCAGTCTTAAAGCTCCCCACAATCACGTGAGTGCAGCTGCTTACAAACGAAAAATAAGTGCTGTCGTCGACATTCCTACCAGACAATGTGATTTGGGAAAATGACAAGCCCTGTTGGAAATTCATATCTACTCTGTGATCGTGTCGAGCCAATTCGGTGAAGTACATCAACTCGAGTTCGAGTCTCGTTGGGGGTGCTGGGGAGACCAGTTAGGACGAGGCCTAAAACTGGCGCCCACTCCCGCAGAGATGAAAATACATTTTCTGAAGCCTACTCATCTGATTGTAAAGAAATGCAAGTGCTAATCCTTAAACGAAATAGGCTGAAACGATCTAATATAAACGAGCAGAAGGCTCGAAACGTCGTTTTGACATTCTGACGAATCGTCTCTTCGAGATTCGAGCCCGGAGAGTGCGCGACAACTTGCCGCGAAGACTCGACAAACTCCGAGTTTCCGCATGAGGTGACGGGAGTCTGGAGTTCTGAAAGAGAAGCAGTCAGAGTTGGTCGGACGCTGGAGAGCGTTTTCAATTGGCCCGTCTGCAGGAGACAACAGCCCAACAATTTGGCCCATCTCAGACTGGACTGCAGACTTGCCCTCGCCTCACCCTCTCAACACCTCTCAGAAGTGGACAGCAAGCCGGATCGCGCGTTTTCATTGGCTACACATTAGCCCCAGATCCCTTTGCCACGGGCACTGATGGGTGAGCCAGGCCCCTTCCAGTTGTCGGCTCATTGTGAAAGTGTCGACGGGACAAGCGTACATTCGTCGTTGCTACTGGCATACTTGCCCATTTCGTTTGAGAAGGCGGGTGGAAAAGATCCCCAACTTGGCCTGCCCACATTTCCCAGAAGGGGTGCTTTAGACTTGGGCCTGTTGGGTTGTGCGAGCAGGACCTCGACTCACCCACCGCCTTGCAACCGCGACCCATCCCTGCTCAACTGTCATTTCTCAATGCGGCTGACAACGCCGCGGCCAGAAACTGTCATTTACAAACAATCACCAAAAAGCTCTACATCAAAACGGTTTGTAGACAATGCTTTTTGACTGTGACGATGTTCGTCACGTGACGAATGAACGCTCGGCACGGATGCATCGGGCTCGCTGGACGGTGGACAAAGGTCTCCTTCAAGCATAAGGCAACCCTCCCT